CTGTTATGCAATCTTTTCAGAACCTCTAACTAGAGAGCTTGATGGACAGTCTGACTTGTTGGAATGAATCCCAAGTGCACTGTCCCCCTTACATCAAGAAAACATGTAAGCATCGATTTTTGTTTTTGGTACCCTTTGTATATCAAAAATTAATATAAAGTTATTGTTTGAGACCACCAGCCTCTCTGGGTGAGAAAGATGAAGCTCTCTATTCTTGTAAAGAGTTGCAATCTCAGAAATCCCCAGGGGCAGCTCTGGTCTGCCCTATAGGGTCGCTATGAGTTGGAATCAAATCACCAATAGTGAATATAATTGCTTCATTCTGTTAAAGTGATGTAGCAAATAATCATACAAATTATTCAATGGAAGTCCAACTATACAATATTTTATTTTTATTTTCCAACTCAATAGCTCTTAGAGTACATGGAAAATGCAGATACATTGTATTTAATTGTATAATCCCTTTTGTCTTGGAAAGTTCTCAAGACTAGTGGCACACAAAACATGCATCTAAATATATCATTGTATTTCTCTCCCATGGGGGTACTTGAAATGCAAAAATGTATTTGTACATTAACCACCCCATTTACACTTCAATTTTGAGTTCTTTTCTTCTTTTATGAGGTGTTTTCTTTCAACTTTTTGGTAACAGCACATTTTAAAAATTGCGATGCAGCAGTAAGTTATGGCATGTCACGATGAATCTATCAAACTTACATTTTTTATGTAAGAGAGTCACTCAGGATCCCGCCACCAGTCAGACATGGGTCCTAGACAGACTCCACTCTTCCTTGGCGTCCTGAGCCGGAGCCAGAGGAAACCCCGCAGACTCGTATTTCCCTTCTCTAAAACGCTGTCAATGAATAATCCACGTACCTCATTCATGTTGCTTCACGGGGTTACAGAGCTGGTTACTTCACCTTATTTGTGTGCAGATTACGTGACTGTCTGTAAATGACTTAGCACAGAGCTGGGCATAGTGCAAGTGGCTATTATTAATACTTTTTGATAAGAAACAATCATTCCGTTAAGTTTCTGGAG